TTGGGAACAGAAAAATCACTCTTCTCGTTGGCCTAGCTCTACTAAATACTTGGAACACACACCCCCTGAACAGTGTATACATACAGTAGTTTAATCACCCTGGAATTAGAAGGGAAGCCCCCAGTGGCACTCAGTGGTCCTGTGGGACCAAATCTGTGGCCCTGACTATCCCCTAGGTGGACAGGGAGATTTGTGTGGTTACAGGGAGGAGGGTCAAAGGTATCAGCAAACCTGCACACTTACCCTGCCTGCGACGTTGATGATCTGGAGGTGTGTTCCACTGGTCTCAACATTTGGCTTCTGTCTTTACCCCTTCCCCGGGGTTAGAAGGTGTCATGCAACACAGTTAGTAACACTCAGTGGGTGGCAAGCTGTCTTCCAAAATCAGACTGCATTAGACATTCTAACAGCAGCATTGGGGGGTACCTGTGCCATTATAAAAGCTGAATATTGTGTGTATGTTCCTGATCCTTCTGATAACATCTGGAGAGCTCTTCAAGATATTAAATGACAGGTTAATGCCACATTAGATTCTAAAATCCCCTGGACCTTCTCCTTATCCTCTTTGTGGGAGGCTAGTACTGGTTCTTCCTGATGAAAACCTTTGTTGGTATATTCGGCACGTCTTGTTGATCTTATTGTTTGGCCCATGCGTTCTTAACTGTTTCTCTGGTCTTGTCTCCACCAGATTTAAAGCCATACGGCTACCCAAGTTGGGACTGCCTGGGGCCTATCGAGGGCTTCGAGATAGACCATCTGTGGAGTATCTGTGACTGCTGATCACAGCTATGCCCCTTGTCAACCAGAAGTTGTCAGAACAGTTTGTCCCTTGCATCCTCACAGCAGTTAGAAGTACTTCTTCAGAGGGGGGAATGTGGTAGACCGCTAAGTTAGTTAGAAATATAGACAATCAGACAGGGCTGGTCCCTCAAAGAAATCAGTGCAGAGGACAACAGCGGCTGGAGGTGCATTCATTAAAAACTGGCTTCAAGACAAAGAGCTTTAACTACACCCACATACTTCCCCAAGGAATGAACAGCAGTTCTTGATATTTTAAATAGGCATCGATCACCTGGGTGAGGGACCAGGACCTTAACCCATCCCCTCCAGGAAAGGTCCCTGACCCATGTGTTATGGCTTGGGTCTAGATGTCCCCCCAGAGCCTCCTGTGGTCATAGGATTGCTCTACAGTGTGTGAAGCTGGAAGGGATTCACGATGCAATGCTAGGCTCAAGGGCACTGGGATTAAGGGTGTGAGTGCTGCCCACCCTGAGTATCCTGGATAAGAGGGGCAGGGAGACTCTGTTAACTCTTGTTACCCTTGCTGCCTTGAGTGCGCCATGTTGTTTGTGCTCTGCCATGCCTGTTTGTCCTCCCTGCCCTGGAGTTGGCTGATTGTGGACTGAAGCCTCTGTGAACTGTAAGCCAAATAAACCCTGTCCATTCCAACATCTGGTGTCAGGTATTTTGTCTTAGAAATAAGAGAAAAATAAACTGACACACCATGTTTTCCAGAAAAGGTCCTTGGTCCATGTATGCTTGCCAAGTGACTTGCAACACCGGGGAATTGATCCCCACTTAGTCAATATTACCTGAGCGTTATACTCGTAATCTTATCGGTCTACCATAGTTTTGTCCTACTTTATACCCGCCTTACCTCGTGGTTTTGCTCTATAAAACTGAGAAGCATCCACTGGGGACCCCTTTGTCTCTTTTAGGCAGAAGCTGTCTTTCTCTCCATAGAGTATTTCTGTTCTTAACGTCTTTTGTTCCTAGAATTCATTCTTCGATTTTAGAGAACACGAACTCGGTGTGTTGGACATCTAGCAGGTTGGGAGTTATAATATTTCCCATATATTATCTGGAGGTCCATGTATCTTTCATCCTATATCACTCCGACACCCGGGGCCTTGCTGGGCAGGAGGGGCTCTGCCCCAAGCCTTGCTTCTGCCCGAGGCAGTAGAAGCCAGGCCTGGGAGGTGGCCCTTCAAGTACAGATCGACCCACGCAGAGCCCACAGTCAGAGCCACTTCCTGCCTGGGCTGTCACACTCTGGGCCACTGTCCCTCTGCCCTCTGACCCCTGAGCCCCCTGCAGTGTCCCATTTACAGCCTGTCCGGCCTGCTTACCTGGCCTCACTGTTCTTTCCGTAAAGACCACGTGCAGCAAGACCCCGTTGCTGTCCCTGTCATGGTTTACATCTGGAATGTCCCCCTCGGCTCGTGTGCGGAAAGGTGGACACTTTCGGAGGTGATCAGATCACAGGGCGCTGCTGACTGTGCTGGTAGAAGGGGCTCTGGTTGGGGGAGGCAGGACCTGGTGCCTGTGGAAGGTGCGCCTCCCTCCCTGGCTCCTTCTTCTTGGCCACCATGGAATGGGCAGCTTTCACCTGCAGGCCCTTCCACTGCAACATTTGTGCCTTGGAGCCAGGGCAGCATGGACTAAATCTGCTGAAACCGTGACCCAAACTAAACTCTTCGCCTTCAAGATGTGGGTGTCGCTGTCGTGTTCCTGTGGCGGGAGGGCGCCCGATACCACCGCGTCACTTTGCCTCCCCTCCCCCATGTGGCCTGGTGTGCTGTGTCCGGCTTCCTGCTCTGAGAGGACTGTGGATATCTTTAAAACTGTTTCCTTCACACATTCGTTTTCTTGCCTGCCAGTCTTTCCATAGCCAATGAAAACAATGCTTAGTTACTGTGCAAGTAGAGCTCACATCAGTGAAACCTGTCTAATCCAGAGTCACAAAGATTTACTCGGTGCTTCCTTTTAGAACAGGAGTCGGTACACAGCGGGCCGCAGGCCAGTTGCCTGTTACTGTGAATAAAGTTTTATTGGAACATATCCAGGCCCACTCATTCGTTAGCCTACAGCTGCTTTTGTGCTAAAACGCAGGTGAGAGGTCAGGATGGACACGCGGCCCCTACGCCTAAATGCTATCTGGCTCAAGAAGAAGCTTTATGAGTGTCTTCCAACATTTTATAGCTGCTGCATTTACACTGGGTTCTAAGATCTATTTTGAGTTCCTTTCTTTCTCCTACTGGGGATTGAATAGCCCCTCCCTTTATTTGACACAGGATTTGACTAAATTGCCCATGCTGGGCTTAAATTGCGACTCTCCTGTCTCAGCCTCCCAAAGTGCTAGGATTACAAGCATGCACCACCATGCCCAGCTGGATGAAATATTTTTATGCTATCAAGTAAGATATGAGATTCCTTGTCTTTACATATGATCATCCACTTATTTCAGCACCAATTTTCAAAAATGATTATCCTTTATGTGCATCCTTATAAAAAATTAACCAACCATATTATATATGTACATCTTTTTCTCAGCAGATTCTGGTGATCTAGTCTCCTACCAATATCATACTGTCGTGTCTGTTGTATCTTTATAATAAATCTTGAAATTGGGTTATACAAGTCCTCCAACTTTGCCAGTTTTTTTCCAAAATACTTCGCTTATTTAAAATATTTGAATTTCCATGATTTTTAGAACAGCTTGTTAAGTTCAATATCAAAGTTTGCTGAGATTTTGTGTAGACTTTGAGATTTAGAAAGAACTGGCACCTTAACACCACTGGGTCTTCTGTTCTGCAAACATGGTATCTCTATTTACTTTGGTATTTATTAATTTCTGTTAAAATCCTTCTATGGTTTTGTTTTGTTTTGTTTTTTTAGACAGGGTCTCACTCTGTAGTTCAGGCTGGCCTTGAACCTTTCAGCAATCCTCTTGCTTCAGCCTCCCAGTGCTGGGATTACAGGCCTGTACCACCATCTCTAGCTATTTGGTTTGGAGTGCAGGGCGTCTTGTGTGTGCTTTACTAAAATCCAGCCTTATATATTTCACATCTTTAAATTGAAAACGATGTGTTTTTTTTTTCAATTTCTGATTGCTGCTAGCTTGTGCAATTGAGTTCTGTATATTATTAGTCTCGTGTTCGTGACTGCTAACATTCACGTATTAGTTCTAAAAGACTCCGGATTTCCTAGGATATTCTACACAGTTACACTGTCTGTGTGGAAAAGACAGTTTTATTCCTTACTTTCCAGTATAGGATAACTTCTATTTTTTTCCTGCTCACGTGCTTATTAAAGTCTGTAGCACGGTGTGGAGTAAAAGTGGGGGCACCAAATGTGCACCCTAATTTGAAGTGTCACAGCTGTTCTGTAGTTTTGCATGTGGGAAGTCTTACCTGTTTTCTGTTAAATTCACCCCTATTTCACACCTGTAAAGTGAAAGCAGCATTTGTTTTGTTTTGTTTTGTTTTTCACTTTTCAATTGTTGCTGGAATGTGCAATCAAGTAATGGAGTACTACTTCTGTATCATCATAAAACCCAGAAATCATAAGCTGAGACATCCCGAGTTGAGGCTGTGTTTGTAAGGGAGGGCAGCCTAGAGGGTGAAAAGTAAATAGGATTAAAATTCAACCTTTTCCTGTAGGCATGGTGGTGTGTGCCTGTAATCCCAACACTCTGGGAGGCTGAGGCAGGAGGATCACAAGTTCAAGTCCAGCCTGGGCAATGTAGCAACTTATCTGAGAACCTGCCTCAAAATAAAAAATTTAAAAAAGGTCTAAGCCGGGCGTGGTGGCACATGCCTGTAATCCCAGCACTCGGGAGGCTGAGGCAGGAGGATCACTGTGAGTTCGAGACCAGCCTGGGCTACATAGTGAGTTCCAGGTCAGTCTCAACTACATAGTGAGACCCTGTCTCAAAAAAAAAAAAAAAAAAGGTCTGGGGATATAGCTCAGTGTGAAGGCCCTGAATTCAATCTCCAGTATTAAAAACAAAAACCCCCAATAAAACCTAGCCCTTTATGTTTGATAGCAGATTTGAAAAATGCTCCAGTAGGGGGCAAGTATCTAACCAATGGCTCATTAAATTTATATTTTTGTGTTTCTTCTAACAAAGGATTTTCAAGATTGACTATATATACACATATATATCAAAGAACAAAATATAACATTTCTACGGTTAAATTCATCGAATTTATCCATGTTGTGCAAAAACGAAAGTATCCAGCAGATGGCGCCAAAGCCCATCTTTTCTGCACCTCCCTGTGATCTGCAGTTTCAATGTCTGCCCACACCTCGTAGGAGCCAGGGCAGAAAATTCCAGCAAAATGTTTATGGGAAAGTACCACCCAGAATTGTAGCCCTGGGAAGTATCAGCAGCAGCCAGCTTTCCAGGTTCTTCATAGTTTTGGATTTGAGCCAGTTCGATTTTGAAGAAATGGCCCCCGCAGGCCCGAGGGTCAGACTCCTTTCATCTGCCACCTCCATCTTTGCCGCTGACCCCCATGGAGGTGGCAGCCCAGACCTTCTGGGACTCTGGGACACAGAGAATCCTCAGCTTGGCCTTAGACCGTGGAGCAGGAGATGCTGAGGGCCCAAGACCGGCCGTGGCTCTTCCCCAGGCCTTACGTGGGGTGCAGATGTCCCCGAGGCTCTCCCAGGCCAGAGAAGAGCACTGACAGGCGAGGAGACGGGAGAAGGAGCAACCGGGTCAGACGCCTCCGTGGAGTCTCAGGGCCCACACGGTGCAGGCCGGGAGAGGTGCCTGGCCTCCGGGAGTGAACTTCAGGTGGAGAGAAAGTCACTGGGGCGGGGGAGGCAGCCTGTGTGAGCCTTGGAGTGGATCCCGAGGGTCTGTGTTCAGTGACGTCACAGTCAGAGGTGTCACCTCGGCCATGGTAGGAATATTCACGGGAGAAGTCAGCAGACGCTGCGAGTCAGGGTTCCGAGCAGCCCCCCCCACCCCAGTGTTGGAGATTAAACATTTACCAGCACAGTACAAACTGCTCAAGTGAAGGTGGAGCAGTTGTTATGACTTTGTGGTCAAGGTCAGACTCTCTCTCCGTTTCAGCCTCAGCTCCAACCTGATAAGTATAAGGAGGGTGGGCACTGGTGATTGAACCAGGGCTTTTGTGACCCCCAGCCCCTTTTAATTTTTTATTTTAAAACAAGTTCTCTAAATCACTAAATCCTACTGCCTCAGCCTCCCAGAGTGCTGGGATTATAGGTGTACACCACCACACCCAGCACCCCTCTTCTCCGGCATGAGACTAACACTAGTAACTGCCCTGGTTATTTAGAGTGCCCAGGAGATGGGCTCGTAAAAATGCTGTGCTAAATCATAATGGATTTACCAAGGTAACAGCTCCTTGGACAATTATGAGAACGGAGCCCGCCCAATCCCAGTTTTATGGGGAATACTTGAGATTATTGTACACAGCTAAACCAGTTAGAAAAGACTATATGGCAGTTAGGCAGGGCTGGGCTCTCAGCACGGAAGACAATTGTGGCCTGAGGCTCATCTACTCGAGGCCAGGATTCAAAAAAGAAACAACTACACCCTCATACTCCCCTGGGAAGTAACAGCAGCTATTGAGATTCTAATAGGGCATCAGTCACCTGGGTGGGGACCAAAACCTCCGCAGCCCCTTCCTTCCAGCAATCCTTGTTCATTCCTTGCTACATGACTAGCTTCCCCATTTGATCCTCATTTAATCAATATTACGTAAGTGACTATGCTTGTAATTTGTTTGTTTGTTTGTACCTGGGATCGAACCCAGGACCTTGCACTTGCCAGACAGGTGCAGTGCCGCTGAGCTACATCCCCAGCCTTACTTGCTGTAATCTTATTGGTTGATCATAGTTTTGTTCCTCCCTGTGATTTCCCATTGGATCAATATCACCCAAGTGACTATACTTGTAATCTTATTACTTAGCTATAATTTTGCTTCACCTTGTACCTACCCCACCTCCTGGCTTTACTCAATAAAACGCCTTTCAGGAGCAGGGTGGGCGAGCAACCCACTTTCCAGTCCCCATTTTTTCTTTTTCAGACGGAAGCTTTTTTTCCTCTCAATAAATTCTTCCTACTCCTAACCCCCATTTTTCCTGGAATTCACTCTTGGATTGTAGAGAACACGCTCACCATTTTAGATACCTACCAGGTTTCCTTTGGCTTATCTGGAAGTCCTGTGTCACAGGCCCTATAGCAAGATGATGTGTATTTGCTTATTTTTCCATTTATTTAAAATGCTTATGGGTGTTCCCAGTTTACTAGGTGCTGTGGAGGTTGGGCGGCCGCTCCTGGGCCCTTTTGTGGAGGCTCACGCCAAAAAGAGATGGTTGTTTTTCTCAAACTTCCTCTTCTGTGGTATGAACGCATTCAGGCTTGGCTCTAACTCCCCCTGCTAGGAGGGTTACACTCTGGCACTTTCCTTATTTTAGATCATAATCACTGACAAGAAAATGTCCTTGCCATATTTCACCAGCTGCCAAAAAGGTAATAAAAGATGCACAACATTATACAAGGAATGGTAAGAAATATGGTGACTATGTAAGCTAGATGATTTATTGCAATAAGAGACACATTGCCGGGCTGGGGATTTAGCTCGGTGGTTCTGGAGCCTGACTTGCAAGTGCAAGGACCAGAGTTCGATCCCCAGTACCAAAAAATAAAAAACCACACAAAAAAAGATACATTGCCAAGAACAAATCTGAAGCAAGAGGGAGGACTTGAGGGGCTGATGACAATAGTCTTTTACTGCAACACATTTTCAAATTTAAAGTCACCATATTTTTTGATCTCCTGGCCCCGATCAATCACTTACAGCGATTTCTATCATATAAAAGCATTACAAGCCAGGCGTGGTGGCGCACACCTGTAATCCCAGCACTCGGGAGGCTGAGGCAGGAGGATCGCTGTGAGTTCGAGACCAGCCTGGGCTACATAGTGAGTTCCAGGTCAGTCTCAACTACGTCGTGAGACCCTGTCCCTAAAAAACAAACAAACAAACAAAAAAGCATTACAGTGCCCTCAATCCACCTGATTCACCAGATCTGGCACCATGTGATTTCTGGCTCTTCTCCAAAGTCAAAATGACCGTGAAAGGGCAAAATTTTTTTTTATTTTGATATCTATCTACCTATCTATCTATAGGTGTCTAGATAGATAGGTAGATAGATAGATAGATAGATATTTTTTGTACCAGGTATCAAATTCAGGACCTTACACTTGCGAGGAAGCCTGTGGCACCACTGAGCTACATCCCTGACCTGTTTTGCTATTTTTTGTATTTTAATTTTTATCAGTACGTATTTATCGTGCATAGTACATGCCTGTGGCCTTCCCTTCCCCTTTGTACCCTTCTTCTCTTTCTCTTTTCTTCTTTTTTCCTCTGGTACTGGGGATTGAACCCAGGGTCTTTGCGCTGAGCTATATCCCGAGCCCTTTTGTACATTTTTATTTAAGGCAGGGTCTCCGTCTCGCTAAGTCCCTTGGCTGGGCTTGGACTCGTGACCCCTCCTGCCTTAACTTTCACCTCCTCCTCCTCCTAGAGGTCTGGGGTTATAGCCGTGTGCCGCCGCACCTGGCTATTTATTTTTCTTCATTTGACATTCACTAAAGTGTGAGTATGTGTGTTTCTTGCACGTGTGCTCTGTCACATAACCCAGAGGACTTACTCTCTGGGCCTTGGTGTTTCTACCGCTGAGTAGAGGCTTTCTCGACTCCCCCGGAATCTCTGTTTGCTGAAAGCCGCTTGGGAAACCGGAAGCCCTTTCTGCTGACCAGCACAGACTCCCGTCTGCCAAGTTGTCTGAGAGCAAGTGGAGTTGTGGCCGGAGGCTGTGACAGAAATCACTGCCCAAGACATGGAGCCTTGGGCAAATCCAAGGGACAGAGCCGAGTGTCAGAGCAAGTGCCTGTGTCGCCTGTTTGTGATGGAGCTGCTTCTGTGACACTCTGCTTGGGCCACCCCTGGGGACAGTTTAGCTTACACGTGGCTTCCCAGAGACGTGTCTGTCATGAGGCCTATAATAGCACACACATGTAGTAGAGGAGTTGCTTCCAGACTCTTCTCTGTGCACAGGACAAGGCGTGCAGCGGGAGTACTGAACAAGCCCCAGCGCCAAGGCACATGGAATTTAGTTTTTCTGGTACTGGGGATTGAACTCAGGACCTTGGGCTTACGAGGCAGGCCCAGTGCCACTGAACTACATCCCCAGCCCAGAATTTAGATTTTTCTTAGCAGCCTCCTCTGAAAAAGTAATAAGAAGCGTAATCAATAATGCAAGACACGCTTCATCATTTTAACCATGTAATCACTCTTCAGAATGATTATTGAGGTGAATTACATCCCTTTGTCCCTACCATGCCTCCGGACTCCAGAAGGCACCATGGTTCCTGCTTGCTGTTTTAGGCGCAGGGCCTGGGGCCTGCAGCCACCCTGTCAGGCAGCTCAGATCTGGCTGTGTCCACACAGCCTGCCAAAGTCACAGGATGGGAGGAGGGTCGGTGCACCTGGGCTTCTGAGGGGATTTAATCTTAGGGGTTAAAATGTCCACCGGGCAGCTGGGCATGGTGCTGCACACTTGTAATCCCTGCACCCTGGGAGGCTGGGGGGCGGGAGGATCCCAAGTTCAAGCCCAGCTCCAGTGACTTAGTGTGAACCTGTCTCAAAATAAAAAAGAAAGGGGGCTGGGGATTTAGCTCAGTGGTTCCGCCGCCTGCCTTGCAAGCGCAAGGTCCCGAGTTTGATCCCCAGTACCAAAAAAATAAATAAACAAAAAATAAAGAAAGGGGCTGGGAATGTAGCTCAGTGCGAAGGCTTCAGTACCCTGCATGCTCCTACACACACGAAGCAGATGCTGGCTCAACAGGACTGGATGGAAAGCGTGAAAATCCCTTGTGCCCCGGCGCCGTTGGTGAGTGTGACTATTTGGTGCGTGATTCAGCACCCCCACAGCGCTGTGAGATGAGCAAGAGCAAGCTGTGTCACCCTGACTCAGCTTCCTCCTGTCCCTCCTTCCCTCCTCCCCTGCCTTCGTCCTTCCTTTTGCAGTGTCGAAGATGGAACCTAGGGCCTTGTGCATGTGAGGCGAGTACTCTGCCACTGAGCTACATCCCTGACCCCTTCCTTATATTTTGAGACAGGATCCTGCTAAATTGCTCAGCTGCCCAAGCTGGCCTCCGACTTGTGATCCTCCTGCCTCAGCCTCCTGAGTAGCTGGGACGAGAGGCATGGGCCAAGTCGGGGTGGAGTCTGTGCAGTGAAGGGATGGCCCTGGGCATGGCTTGTGAGTGGGAGGGAGGGAGGCTGCTGGTTCTTCCTCTTATTCCTAGATGAGGCTCCCAGAAGGCAGGTCATGGCACCCCGTCTTGGCGGAGTGCTTCTCCCACTCACTGATCTGATAGCCTTGTGCTCTCTTCCATCTCCTGCCTCTCAGAACTGCCCGTGAGGTCTCCAGGCCAACGGCATCGCGCACCCCCAGAGGACCTCACCCGACACTGGCTCCTGCGCTGTGCCCCCCGAGCCCTGGGCAGAGAGGCATCCTGTTAACCTTAGTAACTGCACATCCAATCCTTGGGGCACTGTTAGGCACACCAGGGAGTTTCATCCTCTGAGGACCTCTTCCCTCCAAGGTTTCCCTGCCCCTCTCTCCTGGGTGTCTGCCTACCTCCAGTCCGAGCTCCAGCTCTTGTCTCCTGGCTCAGCAACTTGTACCCATCCCGGGCTGCCCCAAATTCCTCCTGGCTGGTTTCCCTTCCCCCGGCCTTGCCCACTTGATCAGTGCCATCTTTCTAACAGGGAATTCTGACTTTGCCCTCAAATTTGAAAGTGGCCCAAAGTTAGAAAACAAGCAAACAAAGAAGCAGCCTCCCTGGGTAGATACAGAACCTTCTTTGTGATCTGGCTGCTGGTGACCTCTGACGTTATCTTTTGCCCCTTTCCAGTCTGCGTTGTAGAACTGCGCGTAGCTCCACGGCGGAGAACCGGGCCGCCCACACCTCCCCATCTCTGCGCATGTTCTCCTGTTTTCCATAGCTCAGGTCGCAGCGGCTCGATTGCCCGTCTGTGCCCTGTGACCTGGCCAGCTGCTTGCCGGAGGACAGGGCCTTGATGGCCCTCTGTAGTTCTCAGCATTCGGTGTGATAACTTACAGTTGGATGAAAAGTAAATAAGTATGAGCAACTCCAGAAGGGGCTGGTCTTTGTGGAAAGGAAATCAGTAGGGGAACGGTGTGAACTGAGCTCAGGTCTTAGGGGGTCCTGACCCTTCCCGCCCTGCGGAAGGCCTCTCGGCCAAGGGGTCCCAGGGTAACGAAGACCAACAGGAAGGGAATGCAATCCCCAGCAGGAGACGTAAAGGAAGCAGGGTGCATGGGGTGACGGGCTGGGGCAGGATGACAGCTCACAGAGACGAACCTGACTAGAGCCAGGGGTGGAGATGCCGCAGCAGCACCCAGGAGCTGCCCCCACCCCAACCATTGGGAGGAGGCGCAGGCAGGAAGCGAGGCTGTCACACGCTCCTCCCCCAGCAGGGGTCCCCCACCCTCACAGGAGCCCAAGAGCCAAAGGGTGTGGCCAAAGAGCGACTCTTCTGCACCCGGACTCGGGAGCCCTGACTTTGTCCGCATCCATCACTGACTGGCTGCGTGACCTCCGAACGCCCAGTCCTCTTCTTCACCCTCAAATTTATTTAGAAAGAGAGAGACCGTCATCCACGTCTGAAATTGTTCGACCCTTTGCAGGTTAAATCTGCCACAGTTCCAAGGTCTGGGAGCTGTGACTGAGTCCCGGTTGGTACTGGTGGTTTGGGACATGCCCCACATGTACCTGTGACCTGTACACGGTTGACCTGTCCTCCTGCTTCTGCTGCTCACGGGATTGGCCGGGTTATTGGAGGTGCTTCCCCAGGTGCTTCCCTCTTGCTTTTCTTTTCTTTCTTTTTTTTGATACTGGGGATTGAACTGGGGACCTTGGGTTTCGAGGCAGACAGTAGAACCACTGAGCTAAATCCCCAGCCCACCTCTTGCTTTTATCTCTGCCACATCAGGAGATAAAGTGAAGGGTCTGGCAGTTAGTTAATCCTTAAGGGTTAGATTCTGCCTGGGTCCTTTGAAAACTGGCTGCCCCGGGGGAATGACATCTGCTCCAAGGTCCTGGGACAGGCATTTCACAAATCCTGCTGGCTTCCACCACGGTGGTATGTGGTTTCCACCAAACCCACTGATCATCCCATTAAGACTGCTAATAATAGGGTAGAGGTTTGGGCTGCTGTTCAGAGGCTCCAAGCTGGTCATTACCCAGCCAGCCAAGCTGGCAGCCACAGCCCCCCGTTAATCCCACCAGTGCTGCCCACTGGGCCACCTTGTCCTCTCCCGGGCGGTGGGCCACAGGTGTTTCTCTTCCTCCAAAGACCCCCATGTGTCTCACTTCCTGTAACGCTGGCTGCCACACCAGGGGTAGGGGTCACGCACGAGTCCCAGGTTAGAAAACTGAGGATCAAAGAGAAAAAATAGCGCGCTCAATGCTTCCCACCACCACATGGCAGAGCTGCAATCAAAGCCTTGCCGAGCCTAGAACCAAGGTTGGGCTCTCTCCAGAAGCCAAGGAGCTCTCCTCAACCCCGCCCCATTCGGTCTCTGCCACTTTGCCATCTGCTGAACAAATCACACTCAGCTCAGTGCCTCGTCCTTCCTCCCATGCCTTTCCAAGGCACTCTGCTTTGTTTTGGATCCCTGTCGCTTCTTCCACCGGGCTGGGAGTGTCTCGAGGCCAAGGGGATGTGTCCTCCCGAGCGCTCTTTCCGACCTGCTGATACCACACCGGGCTCCCGTGGCCTGCTCCACGGCTCTTGGGCCGATGCAGAAGGAGCCCAGGAGTGACATTTCATTCTCAGAGCACCGGTTTTGGGCTCATAAGATTCCTCTTCTCTTATGCTCTCAACCTCCTCTTCAACAATTGAGCCTGCTCTGCTCTGGAACTTAAGTGTCCCAGGGGCCCATGTGTTACAGGACTGGCCTTCCAGAGTGGAGCTCTGGGGAGGCCGTAGGACCTTTAAGAGGTGGGGGGCTGGGGAGGCCTTAGTCACTGGGGATGTGCCCTGGAACAGGGCAGAGGGACCCGGGCTTCTGCCTTGCTCTCTTTTACCCCCTGGCCATGAGGTGAGCAGTTCTGCTCCATCGTGATGTTTCTGCCTCGCTTTAGGCCCAAAGCCACGGGCCAACTACTAGGAGCTGAAGCTCTGAAACTATGAGTCGGGTATCCTGACAAAGATGCGGACTTCAGAGGTCCTCTCACCTCTGTCCTGGAGCCTTCTCTGTCCACCTACCCCAAAACTGTGCCGGTCACTCCCTCTGTTTCTTCTCCTACCCAGAGCTTACTGTGATGTGTGCTACGTGCTTGTGTGAGCGTCTGTCTTGTCCCCTCCCCTCCCAGAACGTGAACCCCAAGAGGGCAAGCCATATGTATTATGACTTGCAGTGTGTTGAATGGCTGATAAAAGATGCTTCCGTCATTTTCATTCTCTAGTTGATCCAGGACGGAGGGGCTCAGCTACCCCCACCCACCCACACCCCTGCTCTGGGCTTCCGTCTTTATGTGTAGAGCAAGGATTGTGGTTCTACATATTCTTATAGGCCCTTGCAGAAAAAGTGAGGTAATTTTAGGTTGCTGTGTTATTAAAGTTAAGGCCTCAGACAAATGTGACTAGTTACGGGGTGAGGCTCATGTCTGACTCTCTCGCTTTTTAAAACTTAATTTTTGCAATAGACTATATAGATAACATGGTTCAAAAAAATAAAAGTATACACAGATGTGCAGGGACGGAAAGGTTTGATCCTTTTCCTTGCCCGTAAGTGGGGTCACAGCTGATACCTCTATAACAAGAGAAAGGAAGTGAAAGACCCCCCCAATGAAAATTACATCACTCTGATAAAAGGAGATCAAAGAGGACATCAGAAAATGGAAAGATATCTCATGTTCCTGGATAGGCAGAACAAATAAAGATAATGTTGGTACTTCCAAAACTGACACGGAGATTTAAAACAATCTCAATCAAAATATCCACAGCATTCCTCACGGATCTAGAGAAAACAATCCTAAAATTTGTATGGAACTAGGAGAGACCCAGAATAGCAAAAGCAATCCTGGGAAAAATAACAAAGCAGAAAGCATCACAATCCCAGATTTGAAAAAAAATGTTTTTCTCTCCGTACCGGGGACCAAGCTGAGGACTTTGCACTTATGAAGCAGGTGCAGTTCCACTGAGCTACACCCCTGCTCCCCAGATTTGAAATTCTACTACAAAGCTACAATGGTTACAAACAGTATGGTACTGGCACAACAGCAGACATGTGGATCAATGAAACAGAATAGAAGAAGCAGAACAGCAGACACATTCAGCTATTTGATCTTTGATAAAGTGTCCAAAAAATACACTGGAGGAAAGATGGCCTCTTGATGATGCTGGGAAAATTGGACACCCACATGCCAAGATTGAGTCTGGACCATGCGTCTCACCATGTACTAAACTAAAATCAAAGTAGATAAAAGATCTACATGTTAAAACAGGACATTTAATCTGCTAGAAGGTAACCCTTCTAGGGTACAACCCTCGAAGGCATAGGCACGGGCAGGGACTTTCTGAACAGGACCCCAGTGGCCTGAGAAATAATACCCAGAATCAACAAATGGGGTCCTATTAAATTAAAAGGCATCTGCACAGCAAAGGAAACCACCAACGAAGTGAAGAAATAACCTACAGTATGGCAAAATATTTGCCAGCTATTCCTTGGGCAGAGGACTAACATCTAGAATATAAAAAGAATTCGAAAACATTTAAACCGCCAAAATAAAAACCCAGTCAAAAAATGAACAAGTGAAATGGCTAGAAGTAGAGTTGGTGTGTTAGTTACTTTTTTGTTGTTGTTGTTGTTGCTGAGACAAACATCAGACACTCAAAGTTAAAGGAGGAAAGATTTATTTAGCTCACCGTTTATAGAGGTTTCAGTGCATAATTGGCTGGCTCTAAGGCTGGGTAGCGTGGCAGACAGGGACTGCAGAGGAGAGACAGTTCCAGAAGGTAGCAAAGCAGTAACAAGGGACCACCACAGCTCTTTCCATCCTTTAAATCTCCTCCAGGTTACGTAGGGTGGGCAGCACTCACACCCTTAATCCTAGTGCCCTTGAGCCCAGCACTGCACCAGGAATCAATCCCACAATCACACACTCTAGATCCAGTTACCTCTGAACAAGCCCCACCTACGATCCCATAAGGCTTTGGGGGAACTTCTAGACCCAGCCATAACATTCCGCTGCTGACCCCTCTGCCCCGCAAAGACTCATGCATGTCCCTTTATGCAAAAGGCATTTAGTTAAACTCCAAGAGTTGCCAAAGTCCTAACAGTTTCAGCATTGCTGAAAAGTCCAAGTCCGGTCTCCTCTAAGATTTAAGGCAAACTCTTAGCTACAAACCCCTGTACAAATGAAAAGAAAGTTAAACATTTCCAACTTTCAGGGGCACAAGATAGACATTTTCATTCCAAAAGTTACAAATGAGCATAGCAAGGAAAGGGAACAAAGTGTGGCCAAAATCCAGCAGGGCAGACATTAAATCTCACAGCCTCACTTCCAGCATCCCTGGCAATCTCTGGCAAGCTGTGAACTCCAAAGGGCTTGCAGTATCTTTGTCCCTATGACATTGTCAGTGGTTGTAGTTCCCATGGCTTCTCTCCTGGGATGGCTCTGCCCGCTCCTTGCAGTTTTCTTCAGATAATCCATGTCCCTGGATTCTCCAACCTTTTGGGATCTCCAGTGCACCTTTGGCTTCACAGCTTCACACACTGCCCTGTCAGGGGTGCACTGCCTGGCCTCCCAGGCCTTCCTCTGAAATCTGGGTGAAGCCTCCCTGGCCCCACAACATTGCATTCTGCACGTGCCTAAAACCAGCACCACGTGGATGACGCCAAGGTCTGCTGCCAGCTGGAGCAGTAGCCAGGCTTCCTTCTCTTGGCTGTAGGGGTCCAGGCCCATGAACCAAATCCCAAGGCACGACTTCCCTAGGCCACTGCCATTCTCTGGTGGTGCTCTGGGGCTCTTTTCTCAGAAGAAAGTCATTCACTCTTGCAATTTTTAGACTGCAAAAGATAGTCCTTCTGCTTTTTGTGATGCCCTCAGGTCTACTTTTCTGTGGTCTTCTTTTGAAATACTTTGGCATTTTCTTTCTAGTCTTTTCAGAGACTGCTTTTTCCTGTTGCATCTTTGCAGGCTGCAGCTTTACTGGAGTTTGCTTTCTGGCTGAACTCATAGTG